TGTAAATAACGACGTCAATACCTTCATTGGCATGATTGGTTGTTAGCTTTACTGATGTTTAGACGCTGACACATAGTTATCCGGGCTTTTTACAAGCCCAGCGACCCGCGAGGTTTGCGAGATATCCTTCGAGAGAGGATGTAAGATGCGCGGTTACGTAGAAAGTTTCTGGCACTACGTGCATGGTGTTTGACTAAGACGAACGAGGGTTCAGCGAAGCTCAGGCAGCACTGATAGTTGGGCGAGTTGGTACGGGCTAATAATTACGCAGCGGCGGGGTTTACAGTGCGGCGCTTCTATTTGCGTCTTCTTCATCGACAGTGTTTCGTGTCTTTGCGTTGCGCCATTGCGCAACCATCAAGCTCAGTTAAACACAGCTTTATTCCGGCTCAATAGGATATGAATCCTGCGACGTGTGGTGGCTGTGTACTAAGATTGCGGCTAGTTTTATATGTGAGCACCCTGTGTGGTTGTGTCACTAATCCTGCGGTGACCCCCGGGCATATCCAAAGGCTGACGTATCCACCCCCGAAACAACCAGGAAAGCTTGGACAATTAAGATTAGGTCCCTTTAGTGCACCAGCGAACACCGCTTGTAGTCCAAAGATGGAGTGAAAGCTAAGTGTTGTCAACAGAAACAAAATATATGTTTTGTCAAGGCAGCACGATGATTACATATACATACATGCGCACTCGGCTCGTCATGTCACTAAATAACTGAGTGGCATTTAGGACAACGAGAACAATCGAATCAATCGCGCTACAAATGCATATACATGAATTGCAAAATCTTTTGAACACTTAACCACTTCAAATATTCACCAATCACGACAGTCCACCAACTTTTGAAGGGATGTCCCGAACGCTTTTCTTCAAGGAAACACTGAGTCTCCAGAGCTGGTTGTGGTTGTTTCCTCTTTTGCCGGTTCCTTACATGACTATTCTTGCCACTATTCACCAACCCTGTCTCTGCGTTACCACCCGTTTATATTAGACTGCGGTCTAGTTCGAGAATATTCCACACAGCTCAGTGTACGCAGCACAGCGAAAGCCAGCGAACGTAAATTTTTCTAGTATGTTGAATTGCGCAGATGGACGCGCGCCGGTGGCATCCGCATTGATTTACCCAATTCTCTCGATGTTTCCCGCTGTCCGCTTTCACGGCGTGCGTTGTTTGTCGAGTACCTGCAGTGCGATACATTGTGGATAAGCGACCGTCGCTGGTGCCTTAAATCGCGTCGCGTGATCGGCTGGTGCCTTCTGTTCTGACACGCTTTTGGGGGGTGGGGGAGGGTGGGGGGGCTTTCAGTGCTTGTTTGTAACAGCTTGGTAGCCATTTGCTTGTATATATTTACTTTTGAATGTTTAATGATGTATTCATTTTTATTACCTGAAGTCTTACGACACATAGATCCACCTTCTAAGGAGTGGGCCCGTAAAATGAAGCATTATAATATACAACAATTATAAGACATGTGATGAAAGTGAAAAGTAAACGATCAATATTGAGAATAAGAAAGAATGATCAAAAATGTGATGCTAAGCAATAAAATCACATTATGGCATGTGCAATAAACAAAGTTGGGGACCTCGAAAAAGTTACGCCTTCAAACATGACAGTTTCTCAAGCAATTAAGTTGCACGCAGGGTGTGCCCAGAAAAAATCTAACATGAGTTGCTGTGGACCACTCCCAAATTTGATCAAATTTGCCATGGGCCTAGGCATTTGAGCCAGAAATTGGGATTCAGAAGTTTATTTTGTAATAAAACTTTCTTTGTCTGAAAAAAAATACCTATCTTTGCGACGGAAAGCATTTCGCCACCGGTTTCACCATGTGTGAACTTTGATCGCACGTTAGTAAAAATGATGCATGTTTTTCTAAATTACAGTACCTCTTCTGATATAAGAACAAGTAATCTAGAGTTTTCTGAGTCAATCGATCTATGAAATGAAAAACGTAAGACAATAAAAATTATAGGCACGACAACTTGATAAAACAGATGTTTGGGCTAGTTGCTGATTCGGAATAATTACGTTTACACAGCACAAAAAAACAAGGACGTAGAAAAAAACACAGCACTGCGCAGACTTAAACTCACATTGAATTCGTTATCTGAGTGCAGTTTTCCCGCAAAACCGGAGCTCGTCCACTGCATATGCAGAACTCATGTAATGTGAGCGCCTGTAGAATTCAATGGCCGCTGCCGCGGATTCGTCAAACGGCTGATTGCAAGACAAGACTTGCTGTATCATGCAATATGACTGTGCATCTGTGTTTGTGCAGGCACTGTTTGGTTATTATATTACGCAGACTTGTGTTGAACAACTAATATTCGATTTTCAGGATACAACGAACGAACTTGTTAGAAATCGAAAATTTGCAATGTTTTTTTTTCTTACTTTACGCAGAATGGTAGATCATCTCCGCGACTTCATCAGAGGGATATTATCAAAAAATTAAAGTGGCCTTTTTGACAAAAATATTGTCCTAATTTTGTTCTTCTGCTAAACCATTTACGTTGCATCTATGAAGTACAAGGAAGCGAGATTAGACAGCGAAAGTATTCTGAAGAATGTGGAAATATCACTGGTATTATTCCCTGAGTTTAGGTTGTTTATATAAATAAATATCGGAAATGCAGGTAATTTGTGTGGTTTTTCATTTCGCTATTTTTCTCTCCCAAAGCTTTAAAATTTGCAAAAAAAACTGTAGACTGCTCAGACTCTATGTAACTTGTTTTTTGATTAGAATAAATGCGTTAATTAAAAAGCGCGAGCTTTTTACTTACGCGCACTCAAAAATGAAAATCGCTAAAATGCATGGCGGTGAGGCAATTGTCACCGCCAAATCATAGATCTATATTTTTTCAAGTGAGAAAGTGAGTGAGTGAGTGAGTGAGTGAGTGAAAAAACTTCATTTGATCCAATATAAGCCCTCATACCCCTGTCCAAAGCACAGTACATCAAAATGAGAAATATTCACCAGGAACTTATGTTCTACCTTATGTGGACACACCGCAAATAAAATATAAGCCACAGAATAGCAAAACCAACTTTGTTATGCTGCTACACAACATTACCATACGTATAAACACACATAAATACGAGGATAGGCAAAGCAATGTTCAATACATAAAGTTATATAGATTACGTCTTAGCTAGACGGTTCTATCATGTTCGGGTTTGCTTGCAATGCAGATATGCTGTGTCCTCGCCACAGGCGGCCTAACTTAAACTAAATTGTGTCGTTTTGTAATAAGAAAAGGCGGCAATTAGAACAATTTTAAAACATGCTGACGGAAGCGCTACTGTCGACCACATTTCTTTTTTGCATCATGTATAGTCTGCCATTGATCGCCATCCTTATCGCGGGAATATATGAAAAAACCCATGTGGCGAAGAGGCCGGCGAAAATTCAGTGCTACAAAGTAATATTGACCATCTGCCACACGTTAAGGTGCATAGAAATATGCAAACAATGACACTACGATTCTTCTCCCGTAGCACTGGAGCCTCTTTTCAGGTAGTCGAGCCCCCGTCAATTTAGCAGTGGAGGACTTTAGCTGTCGGTGTACCGAGGCATTTGTTGATTAAATTTTAGTAAGTGTTCACTATTGCAGGATAACATTGGTCATCTGATAGTATAACACCACCACTGTGTTCACAGGCTGTGCACTGAGCCCATTCCAAGTGTGGTTCAGATCGTTCGGTAGTTGCACCTTGTCATCCAGTGTCCTCCCACTCACACGCTTCATAGTTTCTTTTTTGTGGTATTAGTTAACTGAACAGCATGAAATTGTAAATATTGGTACTGAAACGCACATTTAAATGTGGTGTAATCATTTCTAGACAGCGCAATTTTCACTCAGATAAATATGCCGTACTAAGTAGTTTGAGTGGTATAACTGTGATATTAGCGCAAGAACAAAGATAGGGTGCCTGATAAGGTAAGATATCTCCCTCATTTCGGAAAAAGGGAGGGTTTCTTCAAGAAATATTCGGCAGGCCATCCTGACTCATGTGTTTTTGTAGTTATTTCCATCACAAGACCCCATTCACGGCATAAATATTGTTCATTTGGCTCGCTCATTTGTTCTAAGTAGTGATAACAATAACCGCTGAAGCAATGGGGGCTGATGGGAATGGCCCTAAAGAAGGGTGATGGTCCTATCACCCCTTTCTTCTAGATCGGCTGCTGTCTGTTATTGACTACGTTTGTAAGCTGGATTCACATATCCTAGTGATCTACATTCACATGATTTAGTATATTAAATGCTGCACCACTACTATACCCAATCCTATTAGAATCTTTTTTTCGCTTCTTACAATTAGTTGCTCGCTTTTGCCTAGTAGCCAGCATGTCCTTTTCTTTCCTAACATTGCATTAGAAAAGTTCAATTTATATTCGCGGCATTTATGTGTGATTCGTTCACTACTGCTACTCCTAAGCCGCTAAGGGGTGACAATGGTGAAATCAGTCTACAGAGTTTAGAACGTACCTGCCAAACAAATATTTCCTGTGTGTCTTCCTCCCTTGCAATCTCAGCCAGACACACTGCATTGGTGACGCATTTTCTGTCTGCATTTCACTTTTTCTTCTCAATTCTGTGCAATATTTACCTGGTGATATAACTTCCTTTCTGCCTGGTTGGTTGCAAAGGGCCACATTACATTACTGGAAAACAGAGATCTACACACAACGCACTTTGCTTGCTGTCATAAAGTGACTTCAGACAGACGCTGTAGTATTATTATCTATATTGGCGTGATAAAACAGCACCAACTTTTGTTTTTATATTTTCTATTTCGCTTTCGCAAAGGGTGTGAATAGCTCTATCACACTAAAATAAGCGTTGTAAAGATAAGTGAGGTCACTACGCCTGTCATTCTCCACCTGACGCTCAGATTTCGCTGCCGTTGCTTGGCTGGTAGGTGATGGCACCACACCGGACACAGCCGGACATTGTTAAATACGTCAAACGGGGCGGGGGGGGGGGAATTGAAACCTTTCCTCCCGAAGTAAACACGCATCATCGTAAGCTCCAGGAGCTAAACAAGGCTGTCAACCAGAGAATGGTACGCTTTACCATAGCTTGTTCCCCTCTTTGTTTTGGCTGTGACCCTCTCCCGGCAACGCCATCTTGGTGCTTAATTTTCTGAGGGGAAGAAAGAAAACGTCGGAGGCCTATATAAGGCCCACTGACACGGGAAAAAGCAAGTTCCCTTGAACAGGTCCGCATAAGATACGTACAGCTCCTTTGCACAGGTGCGTATAGGCAAGTTTTTATTATTTCCTAGCCCAGCAAATTCAATCTCGCATGGCAAAAAGTGACTTTACTAATAATAATTTCCCTCCATAGAGTGTTCAGTTGGGTTAAGCTGTGTCAATAACTATGCTCAAAGAAATGTCGTGCAAGCTTCTTGTTTGCCTGTATGTACTCAGTTTGAAAAGACATGTTAAGACAGTGCCATGAGTTCGCTGGTAAACTAAATATACTTCACTGCTACTTTTCTAGTGAAGAACGGAAAATGAACAATTACGTTTGTCAGGTTACTGATGAAGATTTCCCTTTAGTCACCAAGGGTCATCGTGGAAAGTAGGACTATATTGCGTATTTATTGTAGCATGTGTCTTAGACTTATTGAAACAGATGTAATTTTCCCACTTAAACTGTCATAGTTACAACAATGTGTTTCTCCAATATGAAGAATACAGTGCCACAGATGCAAAAATATTTTCAGAACACGTGATTCAAGTTATTACTTCACCAAGAATTGTTGTCAAAACAGAATATTTTGTGTCATTTTTGTCAGTTGTTTTATGCGAGAAAATTGTTATAACCCGCTCAAAATGCAACCAACATTTCAGGACGTTCTGAACGCGCATTTGAGATAGTTCTCTCAAGTACAGTACTTAAAGAGCTGGTCTCTATGTTAGCTAGGTAGTAAACAATAAGATGAAATAATAATAACATTACAAATAAAGACGACTAACCTACAGTACAATGAAATGCGAAAACTACCATTATTTTATCACCGATATGCTTAACCAGTAAAATCCTTCGAATTGCCTCATGCAGTGATTATATGTCACTGTTTCCCATTGACGCGTTTGCTTTCGTTTTATCTGCCAAAAGATGCATCTTCTTTAATATTGTGCCTTCAGGGAACAAAGAAATGATTCGGCATCCTGAGAAACAAATCAGGGGGAAACGATAGGCCATAACTTTTTCATTTGTATAGCCATTTCATGAGATCAAACTTTTTTTTTTATTCAGCGCATGCATTCTGAATTGTACGTAAAGAAAACTTTATTGAAATAATCATTGTAATACTTCCTTGGGACCGTACTCAGCCTCACCTTTCTTTTTGACATTCCAAGTGTTCTTATGACGGAGCAGGTTCTTGTTCAGCCTTGATGATGAGTCGTACGCAGTACATGCGCCACCAGCCTGGCATGCCAAGTGCTACGCTGTCAATCAATAGGTCATACTCGCATTGTCGTTTTGCCGCAAATTTGGCTCCTGAGAACCACTGAGCGTATGCTATAGTGAAAGTCACCCTGTCTAGGAAAGTATCAGGAATTCGTTGACCTTGTACAATTCAAGAAAAACCACTCATTGAGCTCATAATGTTTGTGACACATACACTTTCATTACGCTTCATGATGTCTTCAAGACACGCATTTCAGTCAGCTTATTTGTAAAAGTTCATGCAACCAATCTACGATATCCAGTCGTAAAACTTTGGTCTAAATGACCCAATTACATCGCTGAAGCAGCAAACATTGAAATATACAATGGGTCAGCACTCGTCCTGCATGTTGCTGCTTTTCTTGTCTACTCCGTTCACACTGCTTCTACGATTGAATATTCGATACCGTGACCTCTACTACTTTACGCAGGCCGTAACATTTTCTACGCTAGGCTGCAATTATAAATCCGCAGTTTATGTTTTTTTGTCACTTGATGAACCATCAGTTTTTTTTTCTTTTTTGAATATTCGTATACGCAGGTATCATGATTAGCCAAAGGATCATCGTTGTAGCCGTCATGGTCGTAATCTTTATGATTGCGATGGCCACCGCTCAATTCGGTCCTGTCTACCCTCCTGGCTACGGAGTCGCCGCGCAACCCGCGCAACCGGTGCAGCCAGTGTACGCCGCAGTACCTGTACGGCCAATTTACAAGGGACCCTTCGGCGGCATGAGCCCATACGCCTACGGACTTGGACGGCGCTGAGCTATTCTGAGTAACCAAGGCCACTTCGCGCACCCTGGTTAATCAAGAAATAGACTCCACTGATCTGTTCATGCAAACACGTTGAATCTTGTCCAGCCTCAAAATTAGGCATCCAGATGATTTGCTCCGCAATAAGCCGTTTATCTTGCAGGCTTTGTTGGCGAAGTTCTGGTGATGAAGCTTTTAGAAATAAATAAGTGCGTAACTCTTTTCTCTGAAGCCACATTGAATTCATAGGGCGGGTGTATGGTTGAGTGAACCAAATATGAAGAAAGTTACAGTTTTAAGCCCACTCTCTTGCAGCGTGCTGGCATCTATCGTGGCAACCACACGTATACCAATGTATACGAGTAGCAGAGCTAAAAAACTACAACAGCAATCTTTCATAGATAAGGCACTTTAGAAGATCTGTGACAACTCAACAAATGCACTAACTTTCTACAGACAATTCTGAGGGCGCTTTCTGCTTCTTCGCGGATCATAAAAGTCTTCTGGTACTGCCATACTACCTTCCCGCGCTGCATTACTGGGGCAAGCAATGAATGCTTACGCGAGTTTTCCCATGGGTTCTTGAATTCTCAAAACCTATATATTCCAGTATTTGTTTTTTTTTCTCGCTTTGCTTCCACAAATATATGCTACCTATCTCGTACAGCTAGCGTATGTAGACACGGCCTTAGTAACAAACGTCACGATCTCCGAAGGCAAACGAAAGATGTCTTCATATACTGTTCTATGCTATCACTGATCTAGCCAGATGGGTTATTGTCTGCGTAAAATAATGGTTGATCAGGAGGAGTATAAGTCTTGTTTTGAGACGCAATGCTTAAAAGATGCCTCAAAAATGGCTTGCAATTTTAGAAGTGATCTCTAAACTCTCTATGGAGAAATTATGGGTAACCCTCCCAAAGTGTTTCCACACACTGAATTATCAAATGAAGTAATCACATTTGGTGCGCTTATCTCAGCTGGCAATCCAGAATTCGACCTCTTGTCTGAACACATGCAGCTTTGCTTTAGCCAGATTCAATTCCACGGAAGCTTACGAAGCCTTACTGGTGGCGTCATCGTGATATCTGCCTGCAAGCAGGTAACAAAAAAAAAACATCTATAACACTGTCGTGTAAGTTGGAATGGTTTCATGAAAGCAGCAATAGTCAAATAAACTGCTTCCTGTTGTTACAAAAGCGTTTTCATCGGACAGTCCAAGCTACATACAGCAGTGAGCGACCGTCTCCGATTGGTGTCGCCCAGGGGGGTTACATTGTAAGCGTTATGTGACAGAACGAAGGTCGTGAACAAATGAGAGGACGAGGTTGAGCAGCACGCGTTTTTTTTTTTGTGTGCGGCTCTTCTGATGGTCAAGACGTGAAAGCAGCCACAGAACAAGCACAGAGTGAGTGGAGGCTCCGTACCGTCAACAGAAGCGGTACAGAACGGTCTCCGGATTACTTGTATTGCATGGACACGTAAGTACTGGCTCCAGGAGAATCAAATCAGCCTGCTTTGCGTCTGGCTCACCCTGATCCCGGCCCTATAGCTTTCAAAATTTACCCCTCCCCCCCCCCCCAACAAAAGAAATCGTCAGATTGCGACACCAGCAACTGTCCATTAAAGGCATTCCCACAAAGCATTGTTGAAGCGATGGCACCCTTCAATACCAGGCTTTGCAAAATAATGCCTGCCAGTACCAATGTTCCGCTATAACAAATATTTATTCGTGTGTGCACTGAAAACATGTCTAAATTCACTCAGCTTCCCCATTGGCTGTTTGCTCTCTTTCGTCCTATCATCACATTTTGTTCCGTTCCGCCTCTGTTCTGTGATGGTTATAAAATAGTCCCCCACCCCCTTCTGACGTAATTTTGCATTGTCGGCGCGGACCAAGCCAGTGAAGGTGAGTGCAGAGTAAACTTCGCGCGTTGAATACAGAGTATAAATCATCGTGGCCGTATCTCTTCTTGACAATGAAATAGGATTTATCCCATCCTTTTTGTAAGCCCTTCTATTCGAGTCATTAGCATGTTCATTACACAGGTGTTTGGAAAACAGTTGGAGAAACTTCGGGAGCTCTAATCTTCCCAGAAAAGACCGAGAACATTTCGTTTAGAAATCTGGCAACAACACTGACAACAGCGCGCAACTCTGCAGCGCACCGTGCCCAATTGCACGAGAAACACCACCAAAATAGAGTGTATTTACTTATTTGATATCGGCTTTCATTTGTCTTCGTAGTACTCTACGTCGTAGATTGCAAGACCGATTTCTCGCTCAAAATAAGACACCTTTACCATAATCTAATTAGCAAAAGGCATGATGTAGCTTTTCAGTGGCTGCCCGGCCAGCACAACAGAGACTAACAGCAAAATGCAATGAAGATAATGTGCATATCCATACTTTAGTCATCTTGCAAACTCATATGAATGAACTCTTCAACAAGTACGAATAGGGGGGAGGGGGTTGACTGTGTTTGTACACCTTTTACCATTACCCTGAAACCAGTGTTTCTGTTGCGTCATCACGCACGGTACCCCCATCGATAGATCCCACGCAGCGCACTCAGCGAATGCACGTCTACATAAAGATAGAGATGCACAGTGCTAGGAATGTCCTCAGCCTAGTATCGCAACACTTGCGAAAGAGGCATTGGCATTGGCGAGGGACCGATGCATGAGGCGCGCAAAAAAAGTGCTTACTCGTAATTTTGCTAGATGTGAGCAACCAGAACTTAGCAATATAAAGTTAAGGTTTTACAAGCAGAGTTTGTTCATACGTAACGCCAATGGGTTAGCTAGCTCTAGGGCGTACTACAACAAGGCAGTGCTCGGAAGGAGCTTCGGAAAGTTCAGCCTAAGAGGCATCACGCCACTATTGGCGCTGCCATCATTGCAGCTTGCAATGTCTTTTAGTTTAAGACTTGCGCGCTACTCCACCAAAGTGTTGCAATGGTAGAATGCCCACTTCCCACTCATACGACGTGAATGCGAAACGCCGTTGTAGACTGTAGGTTCCTATCTTTAGCGTCACTTGCTACAGCTATATTGGTTTTCCTTTGTTTGTAAAGGGGCGCTGCAACACTTTCTGAGCATGGTCAAAAAACACTGCGGGTCGGTAGTATATGCTTCCAACAACACGCGAGTCAAATATTACAGCGCAGCACACGGCCTGGAATTCACAATAAATTATCAAAATCAGCTAAAAACTGTTTTCTCTTTTTTCGGCAAATGACAGATGACGCTCAAAAATGACTCGTAGCAAGCCCATCTATCAGCCATTGGGGGATATGAACATGGCTCACTCGGTCACCGTGGGAGGCCGTGACTTGTGCACGTGTGCGCACGCGCTCACACTGAAAAAGCCATGCATTCACAGAAAAAAAAAGAAAAAGTCCTCAAGGTCACCAGCCGTGGGTGACCTGTTTTCTTTACCCCTGCCATACCTCCCTGCTTAGCTTCCAGTGCTCTAGCTGGGACGAGTGAAGAGAGAACATGATTGAAGCGTGCGACAAATTTTTTACTCCACTCATACTGAATGGATTCCTAAAATTTTTGTAGCATTGAATTCGTGAAGCAATAAGCTTTTCCAATGAATTATTCCAATAGTTAGTTGAAAATGTGCTTATGGGCACCTTTAATGCTAGATTCAGCTGTTAAGTGTTGCTACAAGAAGGGACGTGAAATCATAGGTGAAACAGAAAACATTTGAAAGATAGAGAAATTACGTGCTGCGGCACCAGATAGCATTAAAAAACGTGAAGTATAGGTTCCGAGAATTTAGCGATTACGAAACACGAAACGAAGCATCATATGTTGGGCTACTTTTTTTCACAGTACGTGGCAACTCAACCTAGTTTTTAAAAAAGCAACCTAGTGTCAGAAAAAAGACAAACAAAAACAAACCTAGTTTCAAAAACAATAGAGCTGTTGCAAGTGACGCTAAAAATAAGAACGCACCATCTACGGCTGTGATTCTAACGTGAGCCTTTTGAGGAAGAAGCGGGAATTCTATTCCTATACCACTTTGGCAGACACATTACAGGCTACAGATCCTGCGCCACAATTGTCGTCACCCTGCGTGTGTCTCGCATTCTGAACACTGGGGCTGCGGCTGTCCCGAGCACTCCCCTGTTCACACAGCTCACATTAAATAAATTGAAAGAGAAGGCGAAACAACGTGCCCGTGTTTTCAGAGAACATCAAGGACTTTTCGCTATCACATTAACGTGACCGTTACCCACGCCAAACGTTCTTTGGTAAGTGTTTCGGTGGGTTGAGCAAACAAAGACAGATGACAGACTTTGTGCTTAGAGCAACCTGAAACGAAATACTGCATGGAGACGTAGACTGTTCTTCTAAATGCATATTTTATTTCTGGTAACCAAACAGGGCACAATGCTCCTGTATGCGTATTCATATTGCTGTATGGAATGCAGTCTCAAGCGGTGTAGAGATGGAGTGCAGTCTCATGCGGTGTACACATGTGTTCTACACCGTGATCATTGATTGACAGAAATTCAAAACACAACACAGACCAGAGCTGTTATACAAGTAGAAAATGATGATGTCTGTTTGGCGCAAGGACTTGTATATGCATCCTCCGGTAAAAGCATCATTTTATAAAAAGCGTAGTCTGGCAGGCCTTGAAGAAGCACTTCATATTTTCCTTTACATTGTCGCCTCACTCAGACACGTCATCTGGATATATGCTATCCTCTAAATCCGCCATGCCCGCCGAAGCCGCGTCCACCTCCATATCCACGTCCACCGCCGAAGCCGCGTCCGCCACCGAATCCGCGTCCACCGCCGAATCCACGTCCACCACCAAATCCACGATGGAACTGAGCCGTGGCGACGGCAAACACGAGGGCCAGGACCAGAAGGCCGACAAGAAGGGTCTTGGTGCTGATCATGGTGAAGCTGAGAAGACAGGTCAAAAAAGAGGAAGCTATTTATTTTGTAGACTATTTCCGCGTTTGTCACTGCAAACATTGTATTTCAAAACCGCCAGTTTTTATCAGTCTTGTGATGGGAGAGGAGGGACCCGTTTCATAGAACCCCGGGTCCCCTTTTTCTTAGTGTTGTTTTAACAAAAATACGGAAAAGGGTGATGTTTTACCGGAAATAAGTAATGAAAAAACGTGTTTTTCTAAAACAGTCAAATCTTGAGCAAGTAGGCCCTCTATGAAAAAGAGTTATTCTGGGTGTGGGTATGGCTACAGGTAATTCGTTGTGTTTCAAGCGCAATGAAGGATTCTCTTCTGCGTAAATTTGAGCTCTATGGTAAGCATCTAAAAACGCATCAAAAAGGTTGATCGATACCAATAATGAAGGAAACTGTCATGCCAATCAATCTGCTGTTCATCGGAAGCACCAATATCAAAAACAAAATAATAATAGTAATAATATTAATAAAATGGAACACTTGAGCGTTGTTTCTACATAACTACTGATTGAATCAAATAAAGGAGATCTCATAAGTAAACCTCCTGCCTTGTATGTCTCGCTACAAATGAAACACTAAAGTATCAGCAGACAGAGTACATAATATTAGGTAGAATTTTCACCAGTGATTCATACTTCGTCATTTTTTTTCAGCATCGAAGTGCCTTCAGTTAGATGGTCTGTGTATTGAAATCGGTATCTTGTACTGCGTATAACACCACCCTTCAATTAGTGTCATTTTATGGGAATCGTGGTGTAGAGGCCTTCCAAGCAGGCTCTTCGGTAGTTGAATGAAACAGGGGCTAAAAACACCTCGTAGTTCTGAGCAGTGTTTGCTCTTTGCTATACGTTAATGTAAATATCAACTCATCCACAATCTACGTTCCGCTAAGATCATACGCGGTGGCGTCTTTTTTCTCTTTTTTTTTCGAATTGTCATGCTGTTTAATGCCTCAATGAATAGGTGTCAGACGTACAGCTGATGATGATATACACATGCAAGCGATGTTTTAGTTACCCGAGATATCTCTCTGTGGACCAGCTGAAAAAAAACAATCAGATGATGGCAGAAGAAATGTACTTGCCAAATCACAACTGAATTACTTAGTTGATATATATATATATATATATATATATATATATATATATATATATATATATATATATATATATATATATATATATATATATATATATATATATATATATATTCAACCCCTGTTTTTTTGCCCAGATAGATGTTACAAGTGAAAGTGACTTTCATTTCACATTCTTTTTTATGCCCTTGTTTTTTGCTGTGTGATGCTTCGAGGTGTTCTTCTTTCTATTGTTTGACTGCAAAAGGTGCTCTTATTACATTCATCAACCCAACTCATTGCAACAGTGACGATGGCATTCTTCACAAATATACCACCCCAACTAGTGCACTGTAACTGCATGCACTTTTATCTTTACGCATTTCAGTCCCGTACAAGGTATGTCATATTACATGTAATGCTGACATCTAGGGTCAGACTCAGAACCCGTTTTCGTGGATTCTGGGCAGTATCACTACCTGCGTAATGCTACACATAGTTTAGGTACCGGCATTTCATTAGCCTTGTGCTTCGCTTCAAACTTTCATGCGTAACATCAACATTCAAGAGATCCTTGAATGATTCTTTGCTGAGTAGGTTTAACAATATATTATATGTGTATTCGTTGAAATTAGTACAATGACGTTCTCTATTAGAAAAAACGAGCACGCGAATGTCGTTCTCACCTGGGACGTCTCGTCTGCGTGACTCAGAAGCGAAATGCGTACATTAAGCTTATAAAGGGATGGTGCGGGATGCACTGCATGTCGTTGGCACCCAAAGTCTGCTATGAATATACATCACTGTATAGCTCACGGAGTAACCCAAGGTACGACGTAAAATCCGGAAGGCGATGACGCATATCAAGGACGATGTACGTGAACACATGGAGAAAAGCTACGCTGCACTCATTTTAAGGTTCTCCTAGGGTAAGTACGGATGCAATCCCGGAGACCATGCAGCAACTGTTGCATACTTTTGCAGCGACTTTGGGATTGTCAGATGGGCGCAAAGTTAAAAGAGTAGGAAAATTGAAAAGTGTTTCCAAGTAATAATGTGAACGAACGCGCGTCCGAGAATTCTTACACTTTCTTAATGGCAACTCATGAAGAGCCGATGTTTTTTTACGTTTCTTGCAGTCGTATATAAACAAGAACAGGTTTCACTTTAAAGTATTTCTGTTGGGGAAAGACGGCGCTAGCCAAAACACGAGCGGATGTCTATTTACGCAGGATTGAGATTGCAACCTGAGTGAGAAACCAGATTGCGTAAACGCAGTGACAGCCACAACAATATTATTTGAAAAGTGGTAGCGGGTTCAACAAATATCTGAGGTGTGGGGCAGGTGCATCTTGCTTTATGGTACTTTTACTTCAGTGCAGCATTGCCGTGCATTTGGCAATCGTCTAAGCAAGAGGCTTTTGCCGATACTTTTTTTAACCGACAGGTCACTAACCTCTAGAAAATGTGCCTGAGAAAAAAAAAAGAAGTGACGCAACTAACGACTTCTTTGTAACGAATTCCTAATGCACGCAAGGTGGTATTGCTTTACTGTAGTGCGCTTTACATTCAGGGCGCACGCCGTGTTTGCGTCAGGTTTAGGTCTTCCCATTCTTCGCGAAGAAGACAAGAGGGCCTGAGTCAGCGCCGCACGTGCAGTACCATAGCAAGACAGTGATCATTATTTTTCTATTATCGTTCAGCTTCAAAATTAGAAATATTTTGCATGAGCATCTATGTCCTTATTTTACTGTTCGTTTTTATTAGGCGCTTGACTTCTGCTGTATTTATCTATAAATAATGAGGGGGAAGCCAGAAACTTAGAAGAAATTTATTATTCAGAAGCTCTATCAAACATCGAGATCATTTTTCTTGCTACACGTTAGACATGCGCGTGAAACAAACCAACGGATGCGTTAGGCATGTTTTAGTTTTTCTTGAACGAGACCATGCGCTGCTCTTAGTGAGTCGGTTGGTGTTTTATGCGGGTATTTTAAGAGTATACCTCATTCCCTGACCAAGCATTGATCATTGTTGCAAAAACACTGAATTAATTTGATACTACGCCTAAACCCTCTGCGGTACATGTTGTAACAAACTCGTGTCCAGTGCGAGTGACTCAAACTACTCAGAAGGCTACCTCAGAAGGATAAATCACGTTGCTACTGCTAATGTGCAAAATTCAGGAGACGCAACGCAGGTACGACCAAGACGCAAGCTGCAATCGGATATGTTCAGGGTACTACCATTACACCGCTCATCAAATTTGTTGACTGTTTTTTTTTTTGCGGCAGTTGCGTATCTGTCATATTTTTTTACGTTTACACGCGTGCCATGCGTAAAGACTATGGTGCACAAAACATTCATAGCAAAATTTGTAGGTTGTGCATGAAACATTAATTCACTACAATAAATATTAATTATTTGCAAATGTTGGTCTGTCAATACGAACAAATACATGCTTGTAAATATAAATCTCGTGCCTGCACTTTATAAAATGGGTGTCAATTCAGGCACTTTAGTTGAAAATGTGACCTATAACTGAGAAACCAAAATTTTTGTTTCAAGCACTTACTGCACCTCTTTTTACTCTGAATACTTACTGAATCATTTGTTGAATAGTATGAACGCATCGTGGTGGAGTCTTTATAGGATTGTTTTCATGGGGCCGAAAACAGAACATACTGCTTCATCGCTATGGGAAAGAAAGCAGCGTGTGACACCTCAGAGTGCATGGTTGGTCAGTTTTACACGTGTAAGTAAATGTCTATTTTTTACGCTAAGCACTCGATGCGCTGCAGAAGTGAAGTTAATTGCCATATCTTTATTATCAGTGACAGAACTTTCTTTTTCCTCTCACGAAACTTTCCAAGCAGCAAAATGGCAATGTCAGATGCGCATTTCACATAGCCCGCTTCGCCTAAAACGTATGATTCTGTATATGCCCTAGTCCAGGCAGAAATGAGCACACACAGAAAATTCTCTTATGACAAAACCTGAGACTGAACTGCAACGTTAGCTCTATTCCTCTATCCTTACCCGTGCTTGTAACAGTCAAAAGTTTCTATGACACGTCTACATTGCTTGGTAAATGGCAGCGAAAATGAGCCAAATCGGAGTTGCGTGCTGTGAAAGCCAAACTGACAACCTTAACACTTCAAAATGCGTGTAAGTGCTATACATACTTTGAGAAATATTTTAACCTAAATACTTAGTGACGCGTGCATCGGAAACAGCTCCTGTGGTTTTTGTTGCTGTGAAAACTACCATATAATTTCGCAAGTATTAGGCTCAAACGTGTACTGAACACTAATCACCCACAGTACCACTGAAAATCGGGTCATCCTTCCCGAAGATCTTATAACACTAGCTATGTCTTCTCATAGTAGACATGAGTGTTGATAATATCACTGAGATGAGCACTAAAAATTTTGATTAGTCCAACTTAAGATGCTTTTTGCAGGAATTTTTAAGGAGTTGTATTTATATACGAATAAATAAAAAAAAGATAATGTAATATTGAGTATAAATACATCAATAAACAAATGCAAAACAAGAAGTCAAATAGTTTTTGTACAGGTATGCGTGCATCACAAGTTGTAATGCATGATAATTGGTTGTTTGACCTGCTCACAAGGTAAGTCCCGGGTGTTTGCTGTAACAATATTGTAGCTGGGCTCAAGCACTGCACTCTGCGAGCTCTCTGACCTGCTCGATGAACTTCGTCTGGCCCCGAGGGAAAAATAAGGCGGTGCAGAAGAGCGCTAACAAACAGCCGATGAGAAGAATGGCAGCAAGGCACTTTTCTGATTGGCAGCATCTGACCGTTCTTTGTCTTTTGCCTGCAGTTTCATCGAAGTTATTGTAAATAAATCTTTATCATTGTCATCATTATAGCCAGAATGGCAAAATACCCACTTGAAATTTAAGTGGCCGAAAGAAATATAACGCTAGAGTAAAATAGGTTTGCATTTGAGATATTGAGTGGTACAAATATGGGTTCTTTCCACTCATATTGTGTCATTTCTTTCACAATCGAGACTAGTTAGAATAGTTTCATTTTTAACCGTGCTACCAGCTGAGGCGCAATATTTAGAAAAATTTGAAGACACAATTTTTATTCCGATACCACTGTCATCATAATAACTTTATTTCGTATTCCAAATTTCTTACGATCGAGAACCTATAATGTTTTGTTATGTGTGTGTCAGTGAGCGCAGCTTTATTGCAGAAATGTTCTGTAAAACGGAGAGCAACACCCAACTGCATGTGTACTTCAACATGCTCCTTGACATAGTTCTTGAATAAGGCAATATTGCGTTGATGCATTGGTATACACCGTGTTTTAGTGACTGCAGAGTAAGAAAAATAGAAGTCTTTTACTTGTGTAATCCTAGCTCCATATGATCCAGCTGATACTTTTGAGATATTTACGCAAGTGAAACTTCTTTTCTTAGCCAAGCTATTTCTCAGTATTAAATTCTCTGAAATACAAGACGTTGTCTTTACCAATGTTCTTTTTCTGTACTATAATTAGGGTAGCATTAACCCGAAGAATATTTCTGTTTTGATGTTGTCGCTAAAAAACAAACCGAGGCGTTTTAAAGGCAACTGTTGAGTTGCAAAGATTTACTTAATTTTTTGATAGATTGTCCTCGCGTGTTTATCTGTTAACATCATTCCGGAATTCGTCTCAGCGATAAATTCCTATAATAGTATGTAATCATGAGTGTGTTCAATGTGAATTATGTGACACACTGCTGCAGTGGTTTATAAATTTACGAGTCATATAATTAATGAATTTGCTGAACGCATCATCATGTCGAAGCGGTGAAAATTCACAGTGAGAAATCAGTTTCGTGCATTATGACACGCTCAAGATGCTTCAACTTTCCATGCAAGTACCTATCTATATTATTATGGATGCTTGATACAAGTGCAAAATACATTCTCATTCCAATTATATGCAGCGCCGTTTCAGCTCTCTCTATGCCTCGCCAGTTACTCACTTTTTTTTAAAAAAAAGCAGCACGATGCGACGATACGCTCGTTGTGTGCTGAACGAAATGTGGCATTAAGACAAAACTTTGAAGATTCTGCGAAGCGTAGTTAACTTTTATTGTGAGGGCGTTGGCACATTGAAATCGAGTTACTATCGTTGATGGGGCGGCAATACTTATTTGCTGGATTAACCAGTGGGCTGCCTCCGTCAGGGGTGTAGGCAGACATTTCTTATGGGGTGGGGTGTCGGGTGCCTTTTATATTTCAGAAGGGCACCCCAATAAAATGGTTATTTGGTGCTCTGTATTCCTTGGCCAAACAAAATTTTGATAAGGGGGGGGGGGGGAGTCCGTTATGTTATTTCTTGGCTACGCCTCTGGTCTTCGTTATATATATCTACATTAAAGTCGGAAAATTCAATGCGGTGCAACACTGCGGCGTCGCTTTAAACCATATTTTCATTTTGTTACATAACCAAGGCAATAACTTTTTTCACAATGGTCATAAAGCTTCAATTTTCGCGGAATCGGTAACCGCTATAGTAGCACCGTGCTGACAGCTCTGACGAACAGAAACAGCCTACATGAGTGTTCTTGCAGTATTTGTATTAAAATATAGCAACGAAGCAAGAAATTCATGTACGCTAGTCTTGGTCTTAGCTCATTCATGAAAAAATTACCTTTTTTCTTGAGATTGGTGGTCAGGTTGTTGAGTGCTTTGGGGTCACCGTCTCAGGCTGATGCACCGAGGTCCGAGGAGGCTCTCTTTATTTGGAGGAACTCCGGATGCGCCAGGTATTTCCGTGCGTGCCTGGTCTGAAATGATAAGAACACGCTACCGGAAGACCATAGAAACTGCGCTTTTTTATGCTTCGTACAAATGCCGTTGTTACAAATATCAAGATGAAAATAAAAAAAAGTATCGCCCCTACAAAAGCGCCATTTTTATATGTGGAATCACCTTTTTTTTTTGTTATGACAAAAGAACCACTATGACGTGCTCGCATTGTAGTAGCAAGATTGCAATTATGAAGGTATGTTCTTAGTACATCAGATTTGTCCCGAGAAGTGACCTGTAGTGCGGTGGTGTAATTTCACTAACCCGCCATAAAAAGTCACTTGTTAAGGGGTCACTAAAGGCAAACAACAATATTTCAGAGTGAAACGCCCACGTTCGAAAACATCTAAACCGTCAATATAACGAACAACTGTGCTCTACTAATCAATAAATTCAGGTAACTGTACACATGCAGTACGAGTGGGGCATCTTATGACGAGCCCGATGACGTTAAGAGTTCCGAGTTAAACTAATCACTAGTAATCAAACTACGTAAAATATAAAAGAACACTCTGCGAATTACAAGACGTTATAAAACGCCGTTTGCGCGTGTCTATTCAATTCATAAAAAAAGGGCTTATCCACGTTACCACTGATAATGGCAATGGTGGTTCAAAAGTTCCATTTTCTCTGGTTTTCGCTCTTCTGAGGCGGTCCTATTTCGCTGGTATTTCGTAATCGCCTACTGCGTTTTTGCAATGATGATGCTCTCTAACGGAAAGTTCAACATAACGCCAAGTGCGTGTGATGTTTTGTACGCCTGAATGGTGTACTATGCTTGTGCTACAACTCAGCAACCGATGTGACGTTTCAACATATAAGTACCACAAAATGAAGCCCCACACTCCAAGTGCCTAAGTGTCATGCATTGAGACTCATCGTGACAAGCTGCAAAAGCTGCTGCTCCTGCTGTGGCCTCCCGCTACTTTCACAGTGCTTTTACCCTGATGCAGCTCCGCTACTGGCCACACCGAGCTTCATCTTACATCGGTCAATGGTCTTTATTTTGCTGTAGGCCCACGGAACAGCAGCTTTGGCTGCCGGCAGCAATGACGGGCAACGCTGTGCAAGATAGTGTTTACGTCAGAAGAACTCTTCAGGTGGCCAATTTGATGTGCGGTTACGATGTGCAGACCACTAAAAAGCAACGTCGACTTAGCATTTGCCTTTAGTGTTCCTTTCAAGAAATATCATAAACAAGCAGAAAGACACATACTTTAATAGGAAATTCGGCAGAACACTGGTTGTTTTTTTATACTCTTTAGGATACAAAAAACGCACGACCAATCGCACATGACGCAAAAGAAGTGTATTGGGCGTTTTAAGCAAATGACGTGTACAAATAACTACTCCGTATTTTTGTTAGTGGAATTGGTAATAATTTGTATCTCACATTAATTAGCGCTCACCGCTCAATATACCTAATGTCATATTGATAAAGAAACATTGTTCTCAAATACTTGCTTATTTTTGTAGCAAGAGTTTGATGATATAGAACATTGTGTATAACACAAGCAATCAAATATGAGAGGCCAATATTATAATCGCGCTGGAGTTTATATAAGTAATAAAGTCCCACAAGAAGGCGGAAGCTGGCTCATGCCAGTGTTGTCAGTTCATTGTATACATTTTAACCGAGCCTTGCTCTAGTAAATGTTCCGCAGGTTCATTTAATTAATAAAAATGTTGCGTGCGTGTAAGAACAGGAAGCCCTTGCCGAGTAGAAAATAGCAACATTCCTTTATCAAGCAGGAAGCATGACGCCCTCCTGTTCCTGTTGTGCCACATCCAGGCTGTGTTTCTGAATGTTGCCAACTTGAGCGCCACCTCATTGTCGTTTCCGTGACCTATCGCACACCTGCCACTATGCGCAGTTTCGATCTCACCTTTTCCTGGAACACAAACTGCACATGAGAGAGATGGGTATAGAGTACGGTGATCTACTGTTGTGTACAAGTGCCCTAAACAGCATGTTACTGGCTGTATTTGGATAAAAGCTGTAAGGTTTTCATGGGCTCTTGAGACTCCTAATTAACTCTCGTTAAGTATTTTCCATGACAAGCCTACCTCGTTCAGCTGACTGAACGATACTTCAACATGTTTCTTTACAGCGGACCTGTAGGAACTTTCCTTAGCTTTAATGATGCTCGTCGCTGTTGTAATCAGGTTTGAGTTAGCCATCTGCAATGCTAGTTAAACATTTCCGTTCATTCTTTAACCCTGCTTAACGTGCATATTCTATGTAAGCATAAATGGAAATACTTTTAGACTTCTTCACGCTTTTTGGTCATTTTATGCCGACTTCTGTTTCAGTATTGTTTTAGAATCACGAGAGGTCTAGTTTTCTGTTATAGCCTCATGTCGCAAGCAGCCAAAGTCATAAAAGAATTCGGGATTCTTTAGTAAGTTTTGAAGCACCTACCTAGGTATGACTACATCGGTCATCCACTAACAGGCAAGCGCATTCATGGAGAGGATATATACTTTGAGGGCGCCTTCGTATAGCGTTACACCTAAACAAAGGCTGATAATTATGTTCATGACGAGTGTTCGTTGTCCTACTTTCTGATGCGTCTTTGCATTGCGAACGTTTGCATCAAATCGCTCTATCGGTAACAAAACCCTAGAGCTATGCTTTTGGTTATGTTAGTGATCCAAACAAAATCTGTTATCTAGGCGATCGCTATGTGAGAAAACAAAAATAATGAAATAATGTTTTCATTGGCTTGTATAAACTGGTTATGTTGTTAGAGCGCTATGCCTGCAATGAGAGATGGGAAAAATAAACGCGTAATTACCTATGTTAACAGAATTTTCGTAGCTCTTTTTGTCACAAGGAGTTTTCAAAAGTATGACGCTGGCAAGCTTCCACTGTTTGTCTGTCTGGTCGCAGGACATCTGTCAGTCTTTACCAAAACCACATGGATTGAGGAGTGACTGCCACGAGGATGTCAGAAAGTGGACTGATTATAACTGAAATGGCCGAAACGTGCCTCATTCTTGACCATTTCAAGGCAGCATTCCTGCTGATAAACTCGTATTCTGGCCATTCTGTAAGCGAAACGTCACTGTAAGAAACAGTGGACAATAACCGGTCGGTTACGGCGAAGCAGTCTTGTGTTTCTGTGCGCATGTGCACGAGCAGATCTAAGCATTGCCAACAAATTGTAGGGGCCGCACACGGCGATTCGAGGCTTGGAGGAGAGCGAACCCGTTTGTTAGCATGACAACACTTCAGACGGGAGGACCCACGGCCCCTGTCACCTTTACCAGATGAAGTCATCGGGTAGTGAAGGAGAAAAAAAGAAATAAAAGGCATAGATATTAACCAGACGAGTGTTCGGTTTGCTACCCTGAACTGCGGGAAGCAGAGAGGGGGTTCAATAAAAGACATAAAGAAGACCTAAGAGAACTACGTGAAGCAACATGTGCGCCGGTGCAACACCCTATCACAAGCAGTTGCTTACTCCTATAAAATATCAAAAACAGCATTGCCCACGTTGCTTCACTGGGAGGCAATGCGACAGCCATGATCCGAGAAACTTCTTTTCGGAAAAAGGTCAATCGCCTAGTTGTTCTGTGTTTCGCGCAGAACCTTGCCTGCGCGCGCAGAATGATCACATGAACACAGTAGACGTTTTTTGGTTTCGTCTCTATCGCACCAGTCACACCTGGTTATATCTGCCATTCTTTTGCTACTTTTAGCTGCAGGCTGCTCAGTAAAGTTGCGTACTGGTGAGAGAGGTCCCATGAAACTTTAAGCTTTCTCGGCGGGTCAAATTTTTGTGCGTGGCTGTGCTTGACACTGGAGTCACTCTGCCAAAGTTTCGAAATTGCGTCAGTGAATGAGCGAATGCCCCTCACAACTCGGTTCACGACCTCAAGCAGCGTGTTGGGATTTTCAGGGTGTTCTCGTACATGAACCGGGCAGCATCACGAGCAAAGTTCATTAGTGAAAATGCCACAATGTCCCGGTAACCACTGCCACACAAAGTCATGTCCCTTCGAAAGAACTTGTGAAGGACTTCTCTAATTTCGTTAATTAGCTGTTCATGAGCCCTTCGTCCGAAAACTGATTGCAAACTGGAACGGCACGCCTTATAGTCGCGGAAGACAGCTCAATTTTAGGCTGGGTTTCTGCGATACAAGGTATGGCAGCACATAAGGTGAAAATTGTACTGTTTTTGATGTCCTCTTGTGGGATACTTGAAACTTCATGTTCACTTGGTACGCCGGCATAACAACACCTGTGGATTTGTAAGCCGAGACCAATTCATAGGTGTAAATATGGGTTGTTGCCATATTCTTCGTTGAGTAGTGAGAATGTCGTTAGTCATTGGTGAACTGTTGATTGAAGGCTCTTGTTCATAAATACCTGAACCGTGAGGTGCAACTGTGGTTGTTGTAGGCATCACAGAGGTGACAGTGGTCTTGGCGCTGGGGCGAAACTCAACGGAAGGCAATTTAGATAAGCAGAAACAATCTCTGAAAACATCGCTTGTGGTCACTCAAGTGGCAACACAGCAATATAGTGACTGGGAACACTGCAGAGGTGTCTTATGTTGGCTTGTAATTGTCAGTGGTTACATTTCTTAGAATTGGGTGCTCTCTTGCATTCATAATAGCCCCGTGGGTCGAAGTCTACTATGGCAATCCTAAGCGCATGCACAGTGCCTGTCCTTGCAGACTTTCGAAGGCGCGCGTGTTCGTCTTCCATGTACTTGCCAGCAACATCAAACTGTAGCATGCAAATGTTACAAATATTGCTGTTTGTAGGTGCAGTATGGGACGTATTGGTGTTCTTCGAGTTTTTCCCTAGGGGAAACACATTTTATTGTTGATGAAAAATCACCTTTTTTTTCAATTGAATGCAGTTGGGAGTACAAAACGTTCTGTGAGTATTCACACCCTAGAAGCGAGAGTTCTTCCGACATGAAACATTTTGACCATTGAGGGAAATAGGATATGGTTTCA